AGAACTGAACGCGGGTTCTGATGAGAACAGTGTAAGCGTTCAAGCAAACCACTTCTGAAGATGCAAGCCACTCGTGCTTGCGAAACGTCAGGACGGTCTGAAAACCCGAAAAACCCATTAGTTTCAAGGAACGGCCTCGAAAGTCTCTTTTGATTTCTTTATTTGGTGGCAAATGRTGAAGATCGTTTTAATTTGCTTTGGATTTYACAGTTTCATTTTATGTTTATGTAAAACAATATTTCACGTTTGGACTTTATTGTTAATAAAAACCGTTTTGCWMAATTTTCATATTGAGGTTTAATTTAAGGAAAAAGTTRTTGCTGAAGTTGCAGTTGAGCTTCAATGGYTTGACAGAATGTTGCAAWTTCTGTTTGATCTTAAAAGTTAATATTCCAAATTTCTGAGTCTGAGATCTTGCAAAAGCTGCACATTTTCCGATATTTGCGACTTTTKRAGKTTTTGCTCAATCATATCTAGTGGTTTCAGTGTTTCCATAGTTAGTTGTAAATGTTCTTAGATCAGGTTAAATCCGAAGAATTATCATAAATGTTATCAAAACATTAAATTGCCTGGGAAATTCAGTTCAAAAATAGCAAAAATTTGCCATCTTTCTACCAAAAAATTAGCAAAGCCTGAATTTTGGATTTCTGAATTTGCGGTCTTGCAAATGATGTTCTTTTTCTAATATTCGCCAATTTTTGGAAGTTTTCCTCAATTATTCCTTGCCATTTTAATGTGAATGTTTCCAAAGTTTGTATCCCGGTTGTAACGGTGCCTACAGCAGCTAATTTATTGGTTTTCGGGATTTTCGGCCAAAAAAAATGGTGATTTTTGTTGGTTCCATGAAACATGGGCAAACTCAACAGGTTTCTCATACCCTCACACTCATTTAGGTACAATCCAGGCAAAAGGGTGGACAAGTTTAGCAAAAACTAATCAGTAATTGTGGATCTTTAGTTGAATTTGTTAGCAACATTAGTACTAAATTTGCGCAAAATGTGCTCCATTGTCCACTTTACTTACTGTTTTCAGATGGTAATAGCGATCAGACGGCAAAGTGTATCTGTAGTACAAGTATCTGTAGTAAGGATAATAAGGCCACACATCTGAGTAGTAGTTCAAGCTTCTGATCGGATAGTAGTAATTATAGTACAGGCTCAGGGGTCGAAAGATTCTGGTCGTTTCGGGGTAATAGTCGAGGGTTCGATAAGGGTAGTTTATGTAAATCATGTTCTGAAAGTACGGGAAAAATCAACGAGGGTGAAGATGAGATTTTTCAGTGACGTGTGGATTGTACGTTACGCAAGACAAGGGGGTTTAATACGGGGGAAAATAACTATTTTCACTCTCTGGGCGATGTTTGCACGATGTTTCAACCTCAATGTGAGAAACAATCAAAACGTAAATTTGTCCAAGCAACTTCACTGGTTGGGGATAGTTTTGGATACGAAACACATCCACATTAGGAGACACTTATTTATTGAATTGCACCGTTGTTCCATTACGTTATACAACAAATTATATCGTTCGTTACACTTAACTCTTTGGGATTAAAATTAGTATGCATCAACGATCCGTGCCTGGCATAGTTATGCGAAGCGCTGCAAACAACCATCCATCTAGCGATCCGGCCTTAGAAGTAGAGATTATTTCTCAACTAAAAATCAGTTATAACAGGGGAATGTTTGAGAGATTTGCTCCGGTGAAACTCACTCTGACATCCCGGATGGAAACATCCGAAGGCTTTGAGTCGATGTAGTGTTGGAAGAGTCTTCTGGTGGACCAATAGTAGGGAAACCAGACTCTGGATCGGTAACCCCATGGATCGTCATAGCTGATTGGTGGAGAGAACCGATAGTTTTTGAAATACTTCGAGTCCGGCCAATAAGTGTAGTCGTACCCGTGGATGGGATCCCAACGAGTTTCCAGAGAAACCATCTAAAAGTTTCGGATGGAGGAGCAAAACTCCCGGAAAAACCGTTCGGACAGTTGGGCACAAAAGCAGAAAAACGTACCTTCTAACAGATGTTTCCAAGAACAAGTTTCCACAATACCTTTCGCACGAATGCGGCCACAACAAGAAATTTCACCTGACTTGCGGAATATGAAAACAATTCCCGAGTGGCTGCCAACTACCGTCTGAACTCCGCCTCTATTACATTACATCGGCATGATTCATCATTTAGGTCATTTTTGCTTTAAATAATTTCGCCCCTATTTTTAGACGGAACTTCGATAAATTGCCAAAAATTCGCAAAATCGTTGCTTACGCCACCAGCGTGCAACGAAGGTCGCATTTACGATGCTCAGAACCGACGTGGCCATTGGCGTTTATTTTCATAATAAACTTACGAAACGTCTGAGTAACTTTTTTTCGTCAACAAGTTACTCAGCTGGAATCTTCGGTAAAAATAGTTGTATGCGTATTGTTTCCAATTTGATACTTTTGAATCGAACAATACTTTGATGTTCAAACCAAGAGTGAATTTTCCCTGTCGTTTGGCTTGAAACTGAGCTTTTTTCCATTCATTGACAAATTACTTTTCAAAAATACAACGATTAAATTAGTTTTTGTATGGGAGTCTTTATTGCAATGTGGTTACATTTAAGTTGCTAGTCCTCCTACACTCCTACCGTATGAAGCAGTGGATAGTTTGCTCATTTTTATCTTGTATAATACAACAAGCAAGGAAAAAGATGGTGAGATTCCTAGTTAGACTATCTTTGTCCTCGTTCCTCGTTATATATAGATTTTGGAACCGAAAAAAACCCGGAACCGGAACCGGAACGGAACCGAATTAGAAATTATTTTCTAAACCGCAACCGTAACGGAACAGAAATTTTAAATTTTGCTTTGCACCGAAACCGGAACGGAACAGTTATTTCGTTTCGAAAAGCAAATAGTGAAGTTGCACAACAAAAGAACTCACTAATTTCGAACCAAAAGCCGAAGTTTTTCAAAAATTTCTGTGCTGAAACTGGGACATTTTTCGGGTTCTTAGAGCGTTGTGGCCAACAAGGTTTTAAAACATCTGGAAGAAGTTATTTTTTACGAGACTCTTAGGCAATCTCAAAAGGCTCGAAAAACTTGAAAATAATTTCTCCCTAACGTATCGGAAGCACGAGTGGTGTGCATCCTCAGAGGTGTGTCACCGGTGGCTTTAACGCCTGCCTCAAAGCCCTACGAACTCAACAGTATCAGCAACTTATTCAGTAAAAAAGTGATTTTTTCCTGTTGTTTGGCTTAAAACTGAGCTTTTTGCGTTTTAAGACCAAAATACGCTGTGAAACCCCGGAAAACTCACGAGTTTCTGGAACTGGAACGTTTTTCGGGCCGTTAGGCATGGAAAGTCGTGTGGCCCTCTAAAAGCTCAAAAAACTCACCAGTTTCATTTATCTTAAATTTCGCTGCAAATAAGGAATTTTAATGTGCACTTTTCAACTTCCAAGCTGTAAATCTTAATCGCTTTTCGATCGTAAGTATATTCATTTAAATTCTGCTAACAATTTCACGCAAAAAATACATCGCAAAAACATCGTATTTTGTTCAGGCCTAAGCAGGGGCCCGGAGCGGGACCGATATGGACCCAAAACCGGAACGGAACCGTTTTTTTTTTGTTGAACCGGAACCGGAACGGAACCCATATTGGATATTAACACACTGTTCGGTGCTGAACCGGAACCGAAATATTTTGTTTCGGTTTTTCGGTGTTTTTTCGGTTCTAGTTATTTGTGAGGACCAACCGACTTTTCAATCGAAAAGAACAAACACCGTACGTTTATACACTCTTTTTAAAATTCTTTTTTAAGTTGAGTCATTTTAGTTTTTCGATCACCAACAAAGAAACTTTTGAAATTGAAATGTTGGGCAGAAGCAACTCCTCAAAAGATGATGAAGACATGAACCAGGAAGAACAATGTTTAAACGGAAATAAGAGTGAAAGAAGAGGAATTGACGAAGTTGTGGACCTGAGTGAAAACGGAAAGAAGAGAAAAGCGCTAAAGTCAGAAAATTCATTGACAAATGTTGTTTGATTGAAAATTCATTGACAAAAGTTTGCGCATCTTTTATCTCGTATAATACAACAAGCAAGGAAAAAGATGGTGAGATTCTTAATTAGAGTATCTTTGTCCTCGTTCCTCGTTATATATAGATTTTGGAACCGAAATAAACCGAAAAAACCCCGGAACTGGAACCGGAACGGAACCGAATTGGAAATTATTTTCTAAACCGGAACCGTAACGGAACAGAAATTTTAAATTTTGCCTTGCACCGAAACCGGAACGGAACAGTTATTTCGTTTCGAAAAGCAAATATTGAAGTTGCATACCACTTGTGCCTGCGAAACACCTGGAAAATTTTTTTTCTACGCCAGGGCAGACGCCCGAAGAACTGACTAATTTCAAACGAAAAGCCGAACTTTTTCAAAAATTTCTGTGCTGAAACTGGAACATTTTTTGGGGTTTAAGACCGTTTTGGCAAACAAGTTTTTAACACATCTGG